ATCGCAGTTGCACCGCCACCTCGAGCGCCCGCGCCTGGAGTTGTGCCGACTATTGTGACGGCACCGATAGCTCATGATGGTGTCCGAGATTTCTGCGCGACTCGGAAGAATATCCATGAGGTTGACTCGACACCCGCGTGTCTGGCGCGCGAGCAGATGATCTTGTCGGGCGGCAAGGCGACGGCGGCTCACGCCACCGAGTGCAGGAAGAGAATTCCCGAGAAGCTGGGAGCGAAGGGAGATCACAGATATCTCATGTGCAAGCAAGTCTCGGCTCGAGTCGAAGCCGAGGCGAGAGGCCGCTCCCGCGGCGGCGGGTCCAGCAGGCGCTCGGGCAGACCGCCCAGCACCAGCAGGAGGAGGAGCGGCCGACGCCGCAGCACCAGCAGCACCTCGACCAGAAGGTAGAGTCCCGGTGTCAGTTTCACGGCATCAGGCGACGGCTAAGGCACCGCTTGAGAGGGGGCCGCAGGGCCCCGTTCGGAAAGCAGCGCGTTCAGAGTTACCTGCCACGCCCGAAGGCAGGAGGAGGCCGCGCGAGGAGGCCCCAGAGGATGCAGGACCAGGTGGAGCTGCCGGATCAGGTGGACCAGCAGCGCCAGCACCAGCACAAGCAGCAGTAGCGGGACCAGCAGATGGAGACGTCCAGATGCGACCCGCTTCGGTAGCCGCAGCTCCGGCCGCGGCAGGAGGCGCGGAGGCGCTGATGGCCGTCGTATTGTCGCAGATTTGCAGATTACCCATGAGAATGGGGAGTCTGACGGTTTAGGGGATCACCGTTATCAGTGTCGATATATGCAGACATTGGAGGACCAGGACCCCGACTTCCTCCTAGCGTCCCCAGATTGCAGAACGTTCACTAACCTATAGAAGCCTCGCGGGGGCAAGTACAGGGACCCAGAGGAGCGAGCTAGATTGGAGGATGAGGGAGTCGGAATGCTACACTTTTCGGTGGATGCTTGGTTAGATCAGATTCGTCGTGGTCGCTGGTTTCTCCATGAACACCCTTGGATAGCTACGAGCTGGAAAGACGAGTGCGTGCAGTGGCTAGCCGGCCAGCCAGGTGTCTTTTTAGTCAAGAGCGACATGTGCCATTTTGGCATGGTCGGTACGAGGTCAGATGGCAGCGAGGGCCCTATTCGCAAGCCTACCGGCTGGCTGACCAACAACGCAGCATTGGCCAGCTTGCTTGCTCGCACGTTTTCGGACCCCTCGCATGATCACGTCCCGCTTTTGGACGGTCGTGCATCCAAAGCTCGAGGGTATTCCGCGCAGTTGAGGGAAGCCATCCTGGAGGTTGTCGCCTCCGAGCTTCGAGAGATGGGAGAGATCAATGCAGTCGCAGGTGCAGGACCGGTTCCAGAAGTTGAGGAAGAGCATGTTCTGCCCGTTCCAGGAGGAGGAGAGCCAGGACAGGAGGAGGAGAAGTATTGGGACGACGTGAACGGAGGATGGCTAAACATTAAACTAACCGAACAAGCTAAAGCTGAAGAAGAGTCCTGGATGACTAATCAGAATGTTTTCACTGAGGTTGAGCCAGGTACCTGTAGGAGGCTGCCAGGCAAGAACCCCCGTGGAACCCGCTGGGAGGACACAAACATGGGCGATAGTTCTCGCCCGCGTCATCGCAGCAGAATGGTCGCAAGAGAAATCGCAGGCAAGCAGAAACGATGTCCCGAGCGGCTAACAGCAGCATCGCTTTTCAGCAGTACGCCACCCCTGGAGGATTTCAGGCCGTTGCTGAGTTTGGCGATTACGGAGAGAGTTTCGAAGCGAGGTCTACCTCTCAAGGTTGGTTTCGGGGGCGCTTCTCGGGCACATCTGCATAGGGAGGCACAGCGCGAACGTCACGCGTGATGCTAGTCATACGTTGCAGGGGGATTATTTGAACCGCATGCGGGACGGCGAGCTCCTGCAAGGGATGCCAATCCCTCTGTTCTTTTTCGAAAGAGTGACGAGGCGAGGGGCCTCGTCCACGGCGACGATTTCATGGTCGTCGGCGATGGCATCACTATGGCGGATGTGAGTTCCAGGTTGGCATCTAAGCACGACGCGAAGTGTTCGGGGATCTTGGGGCCTGAAGGGAAGGATTCAGATAAGGTGGTTTTCCTTAACAGAGTCCTGAGGTATGTATGTTCGAGGACCTGGGGCCTGTATCGAGATCGAGAGTGACCATCGACACGTTGAAACATTTTTGAGAGACCACGGTTTGGATAGATATTCTGCCAAGGGAGTCGATGTCCCGTCCAGTAATAAGAGCGTCGAGGACGCTCTGAAGGAGCTCGAACTCCCCATCTTGGACCCTGCCCGTGCCCGCGCCTACCGCCCAGGTGTGATGAGAGCGGCCTATCTTGCTCAATATCGGCCAGACATCGGCGTGGCGGTCAAGAGTTTGACGAGAAAAGTGCAGCACCCCAATGTCTCGGACCTGGGGGCTCTTACGAAGTTGTGCCGCTATCTCAAGAAGTACCCGTGCCTCGTCGGTCGATTCTTCCCTCAGCAAATGCCGATGGAGCTCAATATGTCAGTTGTCACAGACTGGGCCGGATGTCCGATTACCCGCAACTGTACTAACGGTATGGTAGCTACGTTTGGCAAGCACACCTTAAAGACGCAATCCACATTGCAGTCGACAGTAGCCCAAAGTAGCGGAGAAACAGAATACCACGGTATCTTGAAGGGTGGAGCGACCGGCCTTTTGAACAAGGCCATCTGGGAGGATTTCGGATTCTCGTTCGAAGTGCATGTGATGAGCAATGTGAATGATGAGTTTTCTGTTTCGATTGCCTCGGATTCGTCCGCGGCGAGAGCGTTTGCACATAGGCAAAGTTTCGGCAAGCAGAAACATGTTATGACGAAGTTTCTGTGGATCCAGGAGAAAGCCCTGAATCGCCTCTTGAAGATACCTCCAGTGGGTCCGAGGGTGAATGTGGCCGACTTGCTAACTATGTGCGTTTCGTTTGCAACATCCTCTAGAAACCTCAAGGCCATGGGCTTTGTTTTCAGGACTGTCTGGGGTAGCCTTCGCAGGAAGCTTTAAGGAATTAGCATCGTGTGAATCCGACTTCGTTTGGAAGATTCGTCAGCAGGTCATGCCGACTCGTTTTAGGAGGAGTTCAGGGGCTTGACGTATGTAGGCTATGTTTGATCCGGTTCTCACGTTTCACGGTTTGCATGCATGCGTCACACGACGGTGTATGGTTTGTACAGCTTGAGTCCATCTGTAAAGGTTTGGGCTCATCGTTTAGGCACTGCGCTGGGAAAAACAAGACCTATCCAAGAGCCAGATTTTTTTTTGGCAACGCTGAAATAGAGACGAACGTTTGATCGGGCCTGTCCTCCTACAGGAGGACAATTCGAAAATTGTCAAAATAGACAGGGGACGATGTGTTGAGTATGTTTTGTGTGTTTTGAGAGTTCGTGTCGAATATTTTTGAACTTTCGTCCAAACTCCCCCTGTAGGAGGACAAGCCCGACTTAAGACAAGCAGCGCCCTGCAGCATTGAGCATCCAGAAGCAGCAAAGAACGGCAGCAGCGCGAAGCGGGCAGCAGCAGCGGGAGCGCACAGCAACAACAAGCAGCAGCAGCAGCAGCAGCAGCAGCAGGCAGCAGCACGCACAAAGCAAAACTGGCCACCGTCAGCACCCTGCAGCTACAAGCAGCAACAGCACGCATCAGCGGTACGCATTACCAGCAGCACGACAGCAAGCAGCAACACGGTAGCATGTGCCGAATTCGAAGTTCGAGCCCCACGTTATAATTTCACCTCTTCGGCCGCATCTCCACCACCACATTCCAGTTCCTGCAGATTTCGTGGACGTTGTCCACGGGTCAGCCTTGGCCTATCTTGCAATACCGGGAGCAACGCGTGGTGCATTGCTCTGGTGGCAGCGCTTGGGGGGGGGGCTGCCGGGAGGGCCCGCCGGGAGGGCATGCGCCTCCCAGTCGACCCAAGCGATTCCAAGATGCATTCAAGTTCGCCGACACGGCCAAGGACGGCCTCAAGATGGCCCAAGATGGCGTCCAGATGGCCTCAGAGGGTTCAAGACATCCCAAGAAGGCCTCCAGACGGCCGCAATATCCCGCTCAAAGCTCCCAAAGCACTCCAAGAGTACGCCCAGCAGGGCATCCTGGTGCAAAAAAATTGTGCTTTCTGGTGGGTTGTCGGACACGTCGGGCATACTCGACTCTTGGGCCTTTGCAGCGTCCACGACGGCCCAACAGCTCCCAAGATCGCCCCAGGCCGGGCCAAGAGGCTTCCGAAGATGACCCCAACGCGGCTACAGAGAGCCTCCAGACGGCCCAAGATGGCCCCTGAGAGGCCAAGACGGCGCCAGGCCTGGCCTGCAGGCCTCCTGGGCAGCCCAGAGCCCTCTCGGCGCTGCGCCCAGAAGCCAGAGCCATGTGAGGAAATGCGGCCCTGTTTCCTCACATGGTCCTGGCGCCCTGGGGCTGACCCTGCAAGCCTCCCAGGTGCCACCTGGGGGCGGTTCCAGGTCCTCCCTGGGCGGCCTCGGGCCCACCCAGCCGCTCCATCGAGGGCTGATGGGGCGTTCCGGGAAGGGCGCCGCTTGGCCGGATTTGGTGCCGCCGCCGCCGCTGCCGCCGTTTCTGCCGTCGTCGTCGTCGTCGTCGTCGTCGTCGTCGTAGTCGACGCTGCCGCCGTCGTCGTTGTCGTTGTCGTCGTCGTCGTCGTTGTCGGTGTCGTCGTCGTCGTCGTCGTCGTCGTCGTCGTCGTCGTCGTCGTCGTCGTCGTCGCCATCGCCGCCACCGTCGTCGTTGCCGTCGCCATCGGCGCCGCCGCTGCCGTCGCCGCCGCTGCTGCCCCGCTGTTGTAGCGTCCGTCGGCTGCTTTTTGAGGGCCCTCCTGGGGCCGTCTCTTCGGCTTCGTCATCGACGACATCTGTCAGCCAATAGGCTGTCGCCGCATGTCGGCCCCGCCGCGTTCCCCTGCCAACTGCCAGGGCACCTGCGGATGTGCTCCACGGATCAACACAAGTCACCTATAGTGCAGCGATCAGCGCGTGCGAGAAAGGCGAGCAGTGGCAACGGGCGCTGGCGCTGCTGAGCGAGATGTGGGAGGCGAAGGTGGAGCCTAACGTCTTTGATCCTACAACATAGTGACCAGCGCTTGCGACATGGCACGTCTGGAACTCTGCCCAGGGCGGCTCCCGGCGCTCCCGTGCAGGCTCTTGACTGCCGCTGGCGTTCACGGCTTCAAGACGGTCCAAGGTGGCGAATCGCCGCTCAAGAGGGTGCCCGAACGGTCGTAGAGGATTCCAAGCGAGCCCGAAAACAAACCATGACGGCCAAAGAGGACATCATTACCTTGTTCCTTTTGCTTTTGATTGATTTTCAAGTTCTCCCCAGATTGCGCCCCGAACAGCCCCACACGGCTCCGGGACCCTCCCAGGTCGCCCCAACACAGCCCAAAGCCTCGAAGAGAGCCCCAACACGGCCCAAGAGGAGCCCAAGACGGTCCAAGAGAGCTTGAAGACGGCTCAACAAAGAGCTGCCAACTGCCCTAGACCCCCAACATGGCTCCAAGTCGGCCCAAGAGACCTCCAAGACAGCCCAAGAGGCGCCCAAAATGTTCCAAGAAGGCTCCCAGAGGCCCCAGGCAGGCCCCCAGAAGCCCCGTCGAGGGCTCCAGTAGGGGATTAATGTTTGTTGACTTTTACCAGAAACCCTTCCGGATTGGACACGCTGTTTTGTTCAGGTTATGTGACTTTGGAGAGCCTCTTCGGCGCTTGTTCGAGCAGCAGAGATGGTTGCAGGGAGCTCCAATGGGTGCGCAAAAGTGCTCCGAGAGGGCCTGGATATTGACAGCATCGTTACACATAAGAGTCCGCTTCCTGATTGGATGCGTTGTTCTGATCAATGTCGATGATGATTGGGGGCTCTCTTGGGCTGTCTTGGCGCACTGGAGAGGCTCGCAGGGAGCACTCAGGGGGAGCGATGAGAGCTCCAAGACAGCCCAGGAAATTCCCAGGGGGCCCAAAAGGGTCCAAAAATGAACAAAGTACTCGAAGAAACCGCTTCCCAGTGGGACACGCTGATCAGTTAAGTTTCTGTTGAGTTGGGGACCAACTTGGACGCCTCCTGAGCTCCGGAGCTTCGACGAGCTGCTCGGCTTCGAGAGCTGTCCTGTGAATGAAGTCCACGGTGTGCGAGTTGAAGTCCAGCATGCCTGGGCACCAGGCTCGCACCAGTCTGTACTCAACTTCCTGTCGCGACGCGTGCGAAACATGCGAGCGGAAAAGAACCGCGCCCGAGCGCTCCCAGGCGCCAGGAGCGCCCAGAGCGCTCTTGAGACGCTTCCACGACGGGCTTACAGGGGCGCTAGATGGCCCCTGGATGGTCTCAGACAGCCCCTAGGCTCAGAGACACTCCGGAGGGCGCCCGGACGGCCCAAGAGGACCGCAACGCAGCCCCCGGACGGCCCTATAGGGCCCGATAACAGGCCAGGAGCTTAAGACGGCCCAAGAGGACCCCGATGACGGCCCGCCCGACGCCCAAATCATTGATGACCGATCGTTTTCAATAGGATTCTCATGTTCTCGCCAATTCGGGTCAGGGACGCCCCAGACGGCTCCAGGGGCATTCCAGGCTGGCCAAAGACGGTTCAGGAAGTCTGGGCAAGTGCCCCAAGATTGCCCGGGGGGGTGCCCAAGAGGACCCCAAGACAGCATCGTAGAGCCCCCCGGTGGCCCCCAAGACAGCCCCCAGAGGGCCCCAGGAGCTCCCAGAGGCCCCAAGGCGGGCTCCAAGACGGCCCGAGACCCTCAACAGCCCACAGTGTGGCCCCAGGACGGCCCCAGACGGCCTTCAAGACGGTCCGAGACCCCGAATAACCCCCAGTATGGCCTCAGCCGAGAGGCTTTCAAGACGGCCCAAGAGGGCAGCACACTTGTCGAAGAGGGCTCCCAGAGGCTCTAGAGAGATTTCCAGGAGGTCTCGAAGGGGGTCCGAAGAGAGTCCAGACGACAGGCTCTCCGAAGCCCCCAAGAGACCTCCAGGGCGGCCCAAGAGGGCAGCAATATGGCCAAAGAGGGCCCCCCGAGGCTCCCCCAGAGGCCCCCAAGACGGCCCAAGACCCAAGAGGGCCGCAGAATTGCCGACGAGGACCCCCAGAGGCTGCGGAGAGACCCCAGGAGGCATCGAAAAGGGTCCGAAGAGAGTCCAGACGACGGGCTTCCCGCAGTCCCCAATGGGCCAAGAACCTTCCACGGACCACTCCGAGATGCCTCTCAGGAGACTTCAATACTTGCCAAGGAGCTCCAAGGAGAGCACCACCAGCCACGGCACCCTTTCGCCGTCTCTGGAACCCCAGCAGGCCCAAAGAAAGCCCCATGCCCCAAAGACAGCCCCAGAGCCTCCCAAGTGACTCCGATATGTCCGACGGAGCTCCCAAGAGAGCCTCCCGGCCCCCTCACCTCTCACCGGTTGTGGCTCCCCAGCAGCCTTGAACAAAGCCTCTGACCCAAAACACTGCCCGACACGGCTCCTCTCCCTGTTCTCCTCTCTTCTCTTCCTCCTCCTCCTCCTCCTCCTCCTCTTCTTTCTCCTCCTCCTCCTCCGCCTCCTCCTCCTCCTCTCTCCTCTTCCTCCTCCTCCTCCTCCTCCTCCGCCTCCTCCTCCGCTTCTTTCTCCTCGACGCCCGGCGCTCGGAGACCCTTTGCTGCTTTTGTTCGTTCTCCCCACGCCTCCCCGAAACGCCTTCCTTCCGAGCTCCAGCCACCCTGGGGCCCCCGCACAGGCGGTTCGGGGTGACCGAGTGGACGGGCATGGACGTTTCGAGGGCCCCACACCCCTGCACCCGCACCCTTTGCCGTTTCTGGGCCCCCCAGAGACCCTCAAGACGGCTCCGGGAACACCCAAGACGGCCGAACGCCCCCCAAGATGGCCCCAAGGGAGGCCCACCGGGACCAACTCTGGAGCGCTCTCCCCCCCTCCCGCCCTTCCCACGCCCAGCAAGTCCCCAAGAAGCCCCCAAGCAGCGCTCCCAAACGGCCTCTGGGACACTCCCCAAAGGCTCCCTTAACGCCTCCAGCAGCTTCCTAGAAACGGTTCTGACATGCTCCAACTCCTACAAGGCCCCGTCTCATTAGAACTACGTAGCACCCCGCAATTGCGGATAAGAGTGAGGGGCGGGCGCGGGCGACGCGGGCGTCGAGCCGGCGGACCTCGTGGCCCTCACCTTCCCTGTCGATGGCGCCCTCCTCCTCCTCCTCCTCCTCCTCCTCCTCCTCCCTCCTGCTCCTGCTCCTGCTCCTCCTCCTCCTCCTCCTCCTCCTCCTCCTCCTCTTCCTCGCATGCGTCCTCGTCCTCATCGTCGTCGTCGGCGTCGTCGTCGTCGTGCGTGGGCCACCGGGAACGTGAGTGGGATCGTGAGTGGGCCACCGGAAACGAATGCAAAAACAGCCCGCCGCAGGCGCCGAATTTTCGGCTTGTTCAGTGAACGTAGTTTGGGTCGCGGGTGGGTCGCGGGCTCTCCACCTCCACGTGGAATCTATTCAAAAACAGCCCGCCGCAGGCGCCAAAAATTTTGATTTGTACAGTGAACGCGGGGTGGGTCGCAGGTTCTCCAGCTGGAACTATGCAAAAGAAACCCGCCGCAGGCGCCGAAGTTTGGACTTGTTCCCTACCTAGGCTCTGCCTAGAAGGGTTCTTACTCGGTATGCTGAAAGGGCCAGGCAGTGCAACTCGCCCCGGGCGGTTCCCCCAGTATCCGCCCCGCGGTTCCCCCAGTTACGTCCCCTTAGCTAAGCGTTGCTTATGTCATCTTAGCTTAGCCTAGCTTAACCTAACTTAGCTTAGCTTAGCCTAGCCTAGCTTAGCTTAGAATAGTTTAGCTTAGCTTAGCCTAGCTTAGCTTAGCTAAGCTCAGTTTAACTTAGCTTAGCGCACCGCAGCATTAGCATTAGCATACCATAGCATAGCACAGCATAGCACAGCATAGCATAGCATGTCGTAGCACAGCATAGCATAGCATAGCATAGCGCAGCATAGCATAGCGCATCATATCATAGCATAGCATAGCATCGCATAGCGCAGCATAACATCGCATAATATAACATATCATAGCTTAGCTTAGCATCGCACAGCGCAGCATAGCATAGCATAGCATAACATATCATGTCACATCACAGTATATCATAACATAGTGCAGCATAGCATGGCATACCATAGCATAGCGCATCATATCATATCATAGCATATCATACCATATCATAGCCTAACCTGGCCTAGCCTAGCCCAGCATAGCATTGCGCAGCATAGCATAGCATAGCACAGCACAACATAGCATAGCATAGCATGTTGCATTCCTAGAGGCTCCAATTCCTAGGTAGGGTCGCACTGGGATTATTCAGTGAACGTAGTTTGGGTCGCGGGTGGGTCGCGGGCTCTCCACCTCCACTTAGAATCTATTCAAAAACAGCCCGCCGCAGGCGCCGATAATATTGATTTGTGCACTGAACGCGGTTTGGGTCGCTGGTGGGTCGCAGGTTCTCCACCTGGAACTATGCAAAAGAAGCCCGCCGCAGGCGCCGAAAATTTCGGGTGGTTCGCGGGGTGGGTCGCGGGTGGGTCGCGGGTGGGTCGCGGTGTGTCGCGGGTGGGTCGCGGGCACGGCTTGGGTCGCGGGTGGGTCGCAGCTTCTCCACCTGGAACGAATGCAAAAGAAACCCGCCGCAGGCGCCGAAAATTTTGAGTGTGTCGCGGGGTGGGTCGTGGGTGGATCGCGGGTGGGTCGCGGGGTGGGTCGCGGGTGGGTCGCGGGTGGTTCGCCGGTGGGTCGCGGGTGGGTCGCCGGGGGGGTCCCGGGGTGGGTCGTGGGTCGCGGGTGGGTCGCGGGGTGGGTGGCGGGTGGGTCGCGGGGTGGGTCGCGGGTGGGTCGCGGGTGGGTCGCGGGGTGGGTCACGGGTGGGTCGCGGGGTGGGTCGCGGGTGGGACGGCGACAACAACAAACAACAACAACAACAACAAACAACAACATCAACAAAAATCCGCATCGCGGAATTCCACTTCAGCCACGCACCCAGGGACAGTGAATGACCGCTCGGTTCAGCCCCCACACTCTGACGATACCCAAACCCCACATA